GCCAGCAAAGGTTGGTTTGAGAGATTTAAGAAGCGTAGTGGCATTCATAGTGTGATAAGGCATGGTGAGGCTGCCAGTTCAGACCACAAATCGGCTGAAAAATATGTGCAGGACTTCAAGGAGTACATAGACAGTGAAGGAATGAAACCTGAACAAGTGTTTAATTGTGACGAAACAGGCCTGTTTTGGAAGAAAATGCCAAGCAGGACGTACATTATTCAGGAGGAAAAGGCACTCCCAGGACATAAGCCTATGAAAGACAGGCTTACTCTGTTGATGTGTGCCAATGCTAGTGGTGATTGCAAAGTGAAGCCTTTATTGGTGTATCACTCTGAAACTCCCAGTGTTCAGGAAAAACAATGTCCTCAAGGCTAATTTGTGTGTGCTGTGGAGGGCAGACAGTAAGGCATGGGTCACTAGGGACTTTTTCTATGACTGGTTACACCATGCATTTGCCCCCAATGTGAAAAATTACCTAATTGAAAAGAAATTAGACCTTAAGTGCCTCCTGGTATTAGACAATGCTCCTGGTCATCCTTCAGACTTGGCAGAGCGACTTTCTAGGGACATGAGCTTCATTAAGGTGAAGTTTTTGCCTCCTAATACCACTCCTCTCCTGCAGCCCATGGACCAGCAGGTTATTTCCAACTTCAAGAAACTGTACACAAAAGCTATGTTTGAAAGGTGCTTTGTAGTGACTTCAGAAACTCAACTGACTCTAAGAGAGTTTTGGAAAGATCTTTTTACCATCCTCAATTGTGTAAACCTTATAGGTAAGGCTTGGGAGGAAGTGACTAAGAGGACCTTGAACTCTGCTTGGAAAAAACTGTGGCCAGAATGTGTAGACAAAAGGGATTTTTAAGGGTTTGAGGATAACCCTGAGACTCCTATGCCAGTTGAGGAATCCATTGTGGCATTGGGGAAGTCCTTGGGGTTGGAGGTTAGTGGGGAGGATGTGGAAGAGTTGGTGGTGGAGGACAGTGAGAACTAACCACTGATGAGCTGCTAGATCATCTTGAACAGCAAGAGGGCAGACCTGAGGAAACTGCTTCAGAGGAGGGGAGAGAGAAATTGAAGAAGTTGCCTACTTCTAAGATAAAGGAAATGTGTGCAAAGTGGCTTGAAGTGCAAACCTTTTTTGATGAAAATCACCCTGACACAGCTACTGCAAGCCATATTGGCAACCTGTACACTGACAATGTTGTGAACCACTTTAGGAAAGTCATAAAGGAACGAGAGGTACAGGTATCCATGGACAGATATGTTGTGCGACAGAAGTCAAGTGACTCTGAAGCTGGTCCTAGTGGCATTAAAAGAACAAGGGAAGTAACCCCAGAAAAAGACTTGCTGCCTCAAGTGCTAATGGAAGGGGATTCCCCTTCTAAACACTAAGATGATCAATGCTCTCCCCTCCTCCCATCCCATCAATCATCACCAGATCTTCAATAAAGGTAAGTATCATGTAACTGTGCATGTAATCTTCAGTTTGTGTGTATTAAAATTAATATTTCATGTGGTAAAAAAATTTTTTTTCAATACTTTTGGGTGTCTTGCACGGATTAATTTGATTTCCATTATTTCTTATGGGAAAATTAACTTGACTAACGATAATTTTGACTAACGATGAGCTCTCAGGAACGGATTAATATCGCTGGTTGAGGGTCCACTGTATACATAGTGTAAATTACCTAGTATAACCCAAAAAATCCCGACAGTGCTATACTCTGCTTGACGATGTGAGTAAACGTGATGATGTGATGACGCAGTCTTGTGGCTCTCTCTGAGACAGAGCTAGACAGATAGACAGACATATTTGTGTACCAGCGAAAACAAAGGGAGGGCGATGCTCATCAAATGTCACCTCTAATATTTTTTATCTGCTGCACCCACCTCCTCCCCCCTCCTCCTCCTCCCCCTCCCCCTCCTCCTCCCTGCCTCCTCCCCCTCCTTCTCCTCCCCCTCCTCCTCCTCCCCCTCCTCCTCCCCCCTCCTCCTCCCTCCCTCCCCTCCTCCCCCTCCTCCTCCCCCCTCCTCCTCCCCCTCCTCCTCCTCCTCCCCCTCCTCCTCCTCCTCCCCCCCTCCTCCTCCTCCTCCCCCCTCCTCCTCCTCCCCCTCCCCCCTCCTCCTCCCCCCTCCTCCTCCCCTCCCTCCTCCTCCTCCTCCCCCTCCTCCTCCTCCCCCTCCTCCTCCTCCCCTCTCCTCCTCCTCCCCCTCCTCCTCCCCTCCCTCTCCCCTCTCCCCCCCTCCTCCCTCCCCTCTCCTCCTCCTCCTCCCCTCCTCCCCCCCCCTCCTCCTCCTCCCCCCTCCTCCTCCTCCTCCTCCCCCCTCTCCTCCTCCTCCTCCCCCCTCCCTCCTCCTCCTCCCCTCCCCTCCTCCTCCTCCCTCCTCCTCCTCTCCCTCCTCCCTCCTCCCTCCTCCTCCTCCCCCCCTCCTCCTCCTCCTCCCTCCCCCTCCTCCTCCATCCCCTCCTCCCCCCCCCTCCTCCTCCTCCTCCCCTCCTCCTCCTCCTCCCCCCCTCCTCCCCCCCTCCTCCCCCTCCTCCTCCTCCTCCTCCTCCTCCCTCCTCCCCTCCTCCTCTGCCCTCCTCCCCCTCCTCCTCTCCCTCCTCCCCCTCCTCCTCCCTCCTCCCTCTCCTCCCCCTCCTCCTCCTCCTCCCCCTCCTCATTATTATTATATACTTCCACATATCCAAAACATTGCTGGGACCTATAAATGCCTTGCTTATATTCCAAGACAATAGTAAATGACCAAGGCAGGTGTAAATGTCCACCTGTCAATGTGTTTGTGACAATTTAATTACAATTTCAGTACCTAATACTAGTGTCAGAACAAAGATTGGTTATGAAATGACAAGAACTACTATAAACTGTAATTATCAGAACAAAAAAATTATATAAAATATGAAAAATAGAAAAAAAGGTATATCGGCAACACTTATGCAAGTGGCAGGACTCCATGTTGCCGTCACATGAGCATCCAGTGCCAACTTCTCAGCCTCATATCTTTAAGTACTTACCCTAATTTTTTTTATTCTAAAACACTAAAAAAATGGCTCTTTTTTTTCTATAATTTTTTTTTTTTTTCAAAATATTCGGGGCACTGCACGAGTGAATGTATATACACGTTTGGACATCTTAACCCTCAGCGGCACCGGCAGCAGCGACTTCCAAGCTCCGTACTTTTCTCCAACTATCAGAGCTACCAATGCTCCTATGATGACCTAGTTACAAGCAAAACTGCACTACCCAACGTAGCACCCAGAATGACCAAAGATTACCAACAGTGAAACCTACAAATCGAAAATAATAGAGATCAAAGGAAGACTGCCCACAAACCGAAAGCAACACCCCGCTGCCAGCTGAACAACGTAACCCTAAGCTTTGTATAACTACAACTTCTTCTTAACTACAACCCCAATTCCTGTAGTATTATGAGGCGCAATCTAAGAGGAAACAGCACCAAGGCCAGCAAGAAAACACCGAAAAATCAACTATTCAACAAGTGTAGCCAGGAGGACGCCGGCCCAGCAACCACCCCACTCACAACCACTCAAGGCGACACCACAACAATAACAACAAACATGGCTGCCACCAGCCCATCCTCCCCTCTCTTCCCCGGATTCAACCTACCAAGTAGTCTCTCAGGTATGACCAATGATCCAGATACCCTAAAGACATGCATCTCCAACCAAACAAGTGTTATTGTACCAGAGTCAGAAATAAAAGAAGCCAAGTTACTAGGATCCCATGGTAGAAAAAGTGTTATGCTTAGATTCCACTCACATGACAGGAAAAAAGACTTAATTATTGCATCTATTAAAGTAAAGAAAGAGGTATACATAAACGAGTGTCTTATCAAAAAACGTCAGAACCTCCTGTATAGAGTCAGAAAACTTAAGCGGGAGAATAACGACACTATGTACACCAATGCTTCACACGGGATGGGAAAATTCTTGTTAGGAAAACAAATGTAGTCAAACTGACACAATCACGAACAGAATTGAATCTATCACGATTTCTCAGGGATACTAATCTTACAGAGAAAACTAATACAATGTTCCAACTTAAAAGCCTACGTATGTAGTTATGTTTTGCTCCATTATGTTCAAATTTCATTGTACAATCTCTTAGTATTTAAATAATCAACTACCTCATTTTGTATTTACTAGTAAGCATAAGTCACCTATGTAATTTTCTTATTTACTATTGTTTGCTTAAACAGCTGAATTGATACTTTCTCTGTCCATATTACTACCTCATATTTTTTTAAATACTATCAACTGATATTACTTACTAAAAATTAATAATTATCAATTTTTTATATAATTACAATTTACTCTTAACATTTTTGACATTTAATAACCATTACTGTCTAATTACCTTTACCTGTTTTGATTACCACATTTACTATCTTAAGTACTCTTAATTACCTTGTACTGCCATATAACCTCTAGTATAACTACCAGTGCAATATTGAATGAAATAAACATTACTTTTTCACTTTTTTTGTAATCATTATTACTTACTAAAATTTTATTAAACACCATATTTACTACCAGTCAATTTTACTTTTGTACATTAAACATTATTTTATACTTCCCATAACATTTTGTTGCCAAATTTTCAAGTTTATGTTCAACTCCAACCTTTATATTATCCTTTGTACCTGTGTACCTGTCTACCATCTTACTATCATATTATAAACCAAGACATTACCATTGTTATTTTTTACTTTTCTTTTGGTAACTTTAATTGTGAATTATATTTTGTCAATTTAAATCTAGTTATACTCTTGATCTTGTCAACAACCTATACCAGACTCTGGAGTTTACCTGGAGAGAGTTTCGGGGGTCAACGCCCCCGCGGCCCGGTCTGTGACCAGGCCTCCTGGTGGATCAGCCCCTGATCACCAGCTGTTGCTGCTGGCGCACGCAAACCAACGTACGAGCCACAGGCCGCGGTGATCAGGAACTGACTTTAGGTGCTTGTCCAGTGCCAGCTTGAAGACTCTAGTGCAATTGCAAGTACCATTTCAATTTGTATTTTTATATTATAAGTTTATATTATAATTCCTACTCTAAGATTGTTTTCATATCTTAGTGACTATATTGTGTGTGCAATTAGTGTATATTTCAATTATATTATTGTTCAAGGCCCTTAACTATCTTTTGCTAACTAATACCAACTACCTCACATATCTTTTTTTTTTCTACTTTTTTTTTTATTCTTTTGCTACCTTAACTTGTATATTTTATCTTGTCAATTTAAATCTAGTTATACTCTAATTCTTGTAAACAACTTGTATAACACCTTAGTGCAATTACAATTGAGAGTCTTGTGCCTTTTTTATATTATTAGATTAAACTCAGTTGTACTATAGTCAATACCAAATTCATTATATTAGACCATACTGCAATTACTAGTGAGAGACTGGTGCTATTTTTAATTTGTATTTTTATATTATTAGATTAAATCTAGTTGTACTATAGCTCATTCTAGCTCAAAACATAGACTCCACAAGTCATTATATTAGACCTTAGTGCAATTACAAGTGAGAGTCTTGTTCTATTTTAAATTTGTATTTTTATATTACTAGTTTATACCTAGTTGTACTTTAGTTCATTCCAGCACAACACATAGACAACATCAACTTCATTATGTGTAGTAGTGACTATACTCTATATGACCAAAATACTCTAGCTATATACTTATCCAAGCTTCCCACCACTACAGATATCAGTACTAGAACTCAACACATAACTCAGGATATAAATAACCATAATTTAAACCTAGAAGATGATTGATCACCTATAACAATCGGTGGCATTTACCAGATACCCCACACAAACATCCCAAATTTCAGTGAGAAATTAAAGTCACTAATAACAAACAGACAAATGAATAAGCACCACCTTCTCTTAGCTGGAGACTTCAACATCAACCTTGGCTTACTAGATGATCAGCCTGTAACTGATTTCATCAACAATATGAACAACACACTTCTCATACCAACAATAACTAAACCAACCAGGCTCACTGAGACAAGTGCAACCATAACAGACCACATATGGACCAATATACTAGCCCCCCTTAAATCAGGGATAATCACAGATAGCACTACAGACCACTACCCTACCTTCCTCCTGACAAACATTAATAAACCACCACTTGAATACAACAAAGTCTCATTTAGACTCCATGACGAGGCCTCAATAAGGAAGTTCACAACTGACCTAGAGATTGTTGACTGGCCTACAAAATTCTCCAAGGCCAATGGTATTAATGACTGGACAGACATTTTTCTTAACAAATTACTTAGACTATACAACAAACATTGTCCTATAAAAACGAAACAGATCACAAACAAACGGCTTGGTTGCCCATGTCTAACCAGCACCATTCTGAAATCCATTGACAAGAAACACCAATATGAAAAGCAATATAGACAGGGCTTAATACACAAAGATATTCTTAAACACTATTCATCACTTCTCACCAAAGTAATAAAGAAAGCCAAACAACTATACTACTCCAGTAGATTCCCAGACACTAGAGGATATAAAAAAGACCTGGAAAACACTCTCTCAGATTCTAGGGACCCACAAACTGAAAAAAAACAAGAATATTGTCCAAACTAAACCTAATGAAACGCCACTACATCCCACTGACACAGCTAACAAGATAAATGACTTCTTCTCAACCATAGGATCTAATCTCGCCAATAAAATCCCACATACTAATGCCCATGCCGGGGACTACCTAGATGGGAATTTCCCAAATTCCTTCTATCTTGCACCAACTGAGCCCTCGGAAGTCACCGAGATTATAAAGTCACTTAAAAACAACTCAGGGAATCTGTCTAATGTCCCACCATTACTGTACAAGCGAGCGGCCCATATCCTTTCGCATGCTATTTCATTACTTTTTAACAAGTCACTAGAAACTAGCACCTTCCCGAAACTACTCAAGATGGCAAGGGTTACACCAATACATAAAGGTGGTGACCCTACAGACTTAAACAACTATAGGCCAATATCAAACTTACCATTGCTATCCAAAATCTTTGAGAAACTCGTGCACAGGAGACTATATTCATTTATAACAGCACAAAACATACTCAACCCCCTGCCAATTTGGATTTAGGAAAAATAAAAGCACTAATGATGCAATCATAAAAATGCTAGATCTGCTTTACACAGCATTGGAAAATAAGGAATATCCACTAGGAATTTTTATTGACCTAAGAAAAGCTTTTGACACAGTAGACCACGACATCCTACTCCACAAACTTGACCATTACGGTATAAAAGAGGCCATGCGCTTGCTTATTTCAAATCTTACCTTACTAATAGGTATCAGTATGTTACCATTAAAGACACAGCATCAACAATACGGCCACTTGATACTGGAGTTCCGCAGGGAAGTGTCCTTGGTCCCCCTGCTCTTCCTCATATACATCAATGATCTTCCAAACGTATCCCAACACCTGACGACACGACTTATGTCATCTCTCACCCTAATCTTGCCACCCTCAACACCATTGTTAACGAGGAGCTGATCAAAATATCGACTTGGATGACAGCCAATAAACTTACACTTAACACTGACAAAACCTACTATATTATGTTTGGTAGCAGAGCAGGAGATGCACAAATTAACATTAAGATCGACAACACTCTAATTACCAGACATAATGAGGGCAAATTCCTAGGCCTATACCTTGACAACAACCTGAATTTCAGCACCCATATCCAACACATAACCAAAAGAGTATCAAAAACAGTTGGGATCCTCTCCAAGATACGATACTACGTGCCGCAAAATGCCCTTCTCACACTATACCACTCACTTATTTATCCATACCTCACCTATGCTATTTGTGCTTGGGGATCAACTGCAGCAACACACCTAAAGACAATAATAACCCAACAAAAAGCTGCAGTAAGAATAATCACTAAATCCCATCCCTGGCAACACATCCTCCCACTCTTCATAGATCTAAACTTACTCCCTGTAGAGTACATCCACACTTACTACTGTGCAATCTACATCTACAGGACCTTAAACTCCAATATCAACCTTGACCTAAAATGCTTTCTTGATAGTTGTGACAGAACCCACAGGCATAACACCAGACACAAACATCTCTACGACATTCCCCATGTCCGACTAAACCTTTACAAAAATTCAATGTATGTCAAAGGACCTAAAATCTGGAACACCCTACCTGAGAACTCTAGAACTGCAGACACATTCATCACCTTCAAAACTACCATTAGAAAACATCTTATCTCCCTGATAAACCCCATCAACTAACTACACGAATACCACCTGGTGGTTCACACTTACACTCACTCACCCATTTGACCATAAACAGAAATATTAATCTCAATCTTAAAATAATGAATCCTATGATACTCCAATACTGAAACTATGTACTGTGCCAAAACAAAAGCATTCACATTGCTAAACTCACAAACTAGTATTTAGTCACTTAGCCATAATACCAACTTACCTCATAATTTGTAATATTTTAAAATAAAGAATTAAATTAAGTCTGCCCGAAATGCCTAGCCATGCTAGGCGTTCTAGTGGTACACTCTGTAATCATTATTTAACTACATGTAAACCACACAACAACCAAATTCTGTAAATTCAACATTGTAATCTTTATAGAGAATAAACTTTGAATTTGAATTTAAGGGTTAAGAAGCGCAGTGGCATACACAATGTTGTAAGGCGTGGTGAGGCAGCCAGTTCAGACAAACAGGCGGCTGAGAAGTTTGTAAAGGTGTTTAAGGGGTACATAAACACTGAAAAATTCCAACCCCAACAAGTGTTCAATTGTGCTGAAACAGGCTTGTTTTGGAAGAAAATGCCAAAGAGGACCTACTTTACTCAAGAGGAAAAGGCACTGCCAGGACACAAGCCTATGAAAGACAGGCTTACTCTTTTATCCTGTGCTAACACTAGTGGTGATTTGAAAGTGAAACCTTTACTTGTGTATCATTCAGAAAATCCCAGTGTGTTTAAGAAAAACTGTCATAAAGAACAAGTTGTGTGTCTTGTGGTAAGCAAATAATAAGGCATGGGTCACAAGGCAAATTTTCAAAGAGTGTGCCCATGAAGTGTTTGGCCCCAGTGTGAGAAAATACCTCCTAGACAATAATTTGCCACTCAAGTGCCTCCTGTTAATGGACAATGCTCCTGATCATCCTCCAAACTTATTAGACCTCTTGTCTTGGGACTTCAGTTTTATAGTGGTGAAGTTGTTGCCTTCTAACACCACTCCTCTCCTCCAGCCCATAGACCAGCAGGTCATTTCTAACTTCAAAAAACTCTACACAAAAGCAGTGTTTGAAAAGTGCTTTCAAGTGACCACAGACACTAAGCTGACCCTAAAAGACTTCTGGAGGAATCACTTCAGTATCTACAGCTCCATAAGCCTTATAGATAAGGCTTGGGAGGGAGTGACTTCCAGGACTTTGAACTCGGCTTGGAGAAGATTGTGGCGAGATTCTGTCCAAAAGAGGGATTTTGAAGGGTTTGAGGCTGACCCTGGCCCTGTCCCTGACCCAGCTCACCCTCTGCCTGTTGTGGACTCTATTGTGGCATTGGGGAACACCCTGGGGCTGGAGGTGAGTGCTGAGGATGTGGAAGAGTTGGTGGAGGACCACAGGGAAGAGCTAACCACTAAGAGCTGCAAGAGCTTCATCTGGAGCAGTATCAGACCACAGCTGAGGAACTTGCTTCAGAGGAGGAGGAAGAGGGAGTGGATGAGGTGCCTTCTTCAAAGATTAACCCTTTGAGGGTTTCGGACGTACTAGTACGGCTTACGACCCAGGGTTTTTGACGTACTAGTACGCCTAAATTCTAGCGCCCTCAAATCTAGTGGGAGAAAGCTGGTAGGCCTTCATATGAAAGAATGGGTCTATGTGGTCAGTGTGCACAGTCTAAAAAAAATCTTGCAGCACACAGTGCATAATGAGAAAAAAAAAACTGACCATTTTTTTGGAATAAAACAGCGACTTTGCACTGTATTTTCGTATGGTATTTATTGTTGTATTCTAGTTTTCTTGGTCTCATTTTATAGAATGGAAGACATATTACAGAAATTGAGATGATTTTGACTGGTTTTACAATGAAAGGTACCTTGAAATTGAGCTCAAAGTAGCAGAAATGTTCGATTTTTACCAAATTTCAAAAGTAAACAAATCGTGCCAAGTGTGCAATACACATCAACTGGCAAGTCTAATATTCTTTCACAAGTGCACCAATAATATTTATACCATTTTTTACACTAATGCAGTAGTCTGCATAACAGTAAATCTTTTATTTTTTGTGAGAATAAAAATTCAGAGTGGAAAGCAAAAGAATATAAGAGGGGCCTTGAGATGTGACTAATGACCAGAGGAAATGTCATTTTAGTGCCAGAAATGTCTTTCTTGTTTATTCTGGACCCTATTCGGAAATTGGCATCTTTTGAAATTTGTGTGAAATTGGCAAAATTGCTAAATTCTGACCACTGTACTGGATAGTTGAATTTCATAAATGGGTGGTTTCTTGCACCCATTCGATAGAAAAAATGGAGTTCTAGCGAAATATTCATGTTTTTTGTCGACTAGTACAGTGGAATTGGCCGAAAATGGGGCTCAAAGTGGGCAAAATCGCCGATGCGTAAACATCGCCGAGACCGCTAACTTTGCGAGAGCATAATTCTGTAAGTTTTCCATCAAATTTCAAACTTTTGGTGTCCTTATGATCGGGAAAAGATTCTCTATCTTTTCATAAGATAATTTTTTTTTTTTTTAAATTTGGCTGACCGTGAGAACGAGTTTCGGAGAGGGCCTGTCGACCCTCAAAGGGTTAAGGAGATTTGTGCCAAGTGGAATGATGTCCAAATGTTTGTGCAGAAGTGCCACCCTGAGCAAGCCGAAACAAGCCACCTTTGCAACAAGTTCAGTGACAGAACCATGTCCCATTTTAGGGAAATGTTAAAGAGGCGCCAGAAACAGAGGACTGTGGACAGTTATTTTGTGAGACAGGAGTCCAGTGACTCTCAAGCTGGTCCTAGTGGCATTAAAAGACAGAAGGGAAGTAAACCCAGAGAGGGCTTTACCTGAAGTCCTCACGGAGGGGGATTCTCCTTCCAAACACTAACCCCAACTTCCACTCTCCTCCTCCCTATCTTCCAGATGCCATCACCAATCTTCAATAAAGGTAAGTAAAAATGTTATTTTATATTTATATGCATAATTAAAAACTTAAGTATTTATTGTGTGTATGTAAAACTGTAATTAATCTCTATAAAATGTATTTTTTTGTGAATATTTTTGGGTTTCTGTAACGGATTAATTGTATTTCCATTATTTCTTGTAGGAAATACTGCTTCGCTTTTCAGACTTTTCAAATTTAGAACCAGCTCCTGGAACGGATTAAGTTTGGTATTTGAGGTTCCACTGTAAATGTAGTTTTCTATCTTTATATCTCCGTCCAAAACATCCCTTGTATGTGTTTCTGTAAATGCTCCGAACATGGCATTCATTATACACTTCTGTTAGGAGCCCACTGACATAACTGTCATTTTTATTTGATTTCAAACCCTGTATATTTGCAAGTATGAAGCAGGAATTACCAAGTGGGATGTTTTGTCTCGCTTTGTTTCATTAGTACCACTTGTGGTGTACTACCTGGTATGTCCCCTGGTGTACACGCCCCTGGTTCCTCCAGTACTGGTTTCGCGTTTGTTTGCTTATTCGGCCTTGATGGGCTGATGCCTGGTTTGGTACGCCCCATTTTACTGCCCACCAGTCCTCTCTGTACCATTCTCCCTGTTTGTCTCTTCCTTTGTTTTGATCTTTTCTCTTTGTCTAAAAAAGAATGCTGTTCAATTCCCCTTTCTCTGCTAACTCTGTAGTGCCGCGTTCCTTTTACTTGATGGTCTGGGCAGCTCAGGTCATAACATTCTCTGGACTGTGTTGAAGCTTTACACATTACTGGATGGAAGTATCTGCTGCACTCTTTGTTGAAACGACACTTTCCCTTCCTCAGGATGTTCGCACATTTTCTGGTGTGTTTATTCCAACAATCTCTGCCATATAGGCACATACCTTTAGCATAGTATCGGCAAATGTTCTGACTACCTATATTTATTGATTTTATGTCATTCCTAAGTTCTGCCACCTGATCCGAGTTCTCTTGTTCACTTTCTTCTAAGCTAATTTCTTCCCTTTGCTCGTTTTCATTTGTTCCTGCTCTAGCTTTCTCTTCCTCCCTTTCCCTTTCCGCTATGTTATGTATCCCTGTTTCCTTCTTTTCCGACTTGCTCTGTATGACATTTTCCACTCTTACTTCCACTCCTTGGTTTTCACCTCTATTTGCATTTTCCTCCTTTTCTTGTTCCTTTTCCCCAGTTTTCTACTCTTTGTATAATTCTGGCAAGCTCCTTAGAAACTTCCTTATGCTTTCTAGGTTTTCACTTTTCAGTACCTCTCTTATGCTTAACCAGCTGTCCCTTTCACTGGGGCAAATCCAGAAATGACTGTTTTTGGTCATCTGTCATGGTTGCATGAAGCTTTGTACATGATATACGTATGTGATATTTTACCACAAATTTCACAATCAATGCCCCTCACGTTTCTCCAAAAGAATTTTTCACATATACAACAGCCTTTATTCCTGGCCATGATTACTTTTAAACAGATGTTTGTGGTGGATGGTGTATTTATTATGTGTGGCTGGTGGTGGGGTGGCTGGTAGGTGGAGTGGGCTGGGCAGTGGGTATCCTTAGGTGCTGCAGCACCCAGTCTGAAAATCAATGCAATAAACAAAGATTTTAAACTTCCTATCAATTTTAACCTTTAAACTGTCCAAACGTAGATCTACGTTCGCTCGCGTGGCGCAAGGTATATTTTGAAAAATAATTTTTTTTTAAATGAAGAGCACATTTTTCTACAGAATTTATTATTAATATTAATAACGAGTGGTTATTACTGTTATTAATAGTTAATACTGTTATTAATATTGGTTATTATATCATATTAGATCAATTGTGAAAGATAAGTAAGCCGTAGAGTTGATATTAGTGTCAAATTGAAGGACCATCTTGTCCTGTCTCCAAACAAACTCTGCTGCCGCCACAATTCCTAATATACGTAATGACATATGTTAAATATGATTGGCCGGCTGGCCATTCGCGAATGTTCGAAGCCCGTTAACCCTTTCGAGGTTTCGGTTGTACTAGTACGGCTTACGCGCAGGGGTTTTTGACGTACTAGTACGCATAAATTCTAGCGCTGTCAAATCTCGCGGGAAAAGGCTGGTAGGCCTAGATGTGAGAGAATGGGTCTGTGTGGTGGGTGTGCGCAGTAGGAAAAAAATCTGGGACCCAGTGGTGCATTGTGGGAACGCCATCTTAGTACACAATGTCCACCATGCCTTGCGGTAAGAAGTTCCTCACTCCTCAGTGAATTGGGACACTTTTGTTCCCCAGTGACAGTTCTAATACAGATGGAAGTGACAGTGAAGATGAGTTTCAAGGTTCTGGTGAGGTTTTGACCGAAACTAATGACCATAATATCGGTAATAGTGAGGAAAAGCCAGACGACCCTCAGCATTCCACCTCTGCTGCTGGGCTGTCTTGTCAATGCTCAGTTGTACCAGAATCAAAGAGGAAACTCCTATTTTCCAAAATCCCAGACTCAGATGTGAGCATTTGTGATGATAGTGATAGTGATTATGAACTACAAGCTCTTCAAACTAGTTCCAGCAGTGATAGTGAAGTGCAATATTTCCCAGTGAAGCGTCAGTATATACGACGATATATGCGCTCTGGTAGTGTGCCATATGCTATTCCAAGGGGAAGGACTACATCTCGGAGTACATCCCGTGGCTGTACAACAGGAACTGACAGTGAAAATGACGATGATACTGTTGCAATTGGGATGGAAATTGTGCATGGTGGTGGTGGTGGTGGTGCTGGGCGTGAGGCACAAGCAGTGGGCCATGCTGCCACCCACGCTGCTGCCACCCACGCCACTGCCACCCACGCCACTGCCACCCACGCCGCTGCCACCCATGCCGCTGCCTCAGCTGGTCTACAACAAAGGCCACCATACCCCACCCACCCACCACACCAGCCTCCACAACCACAACCTCCACAACCACCTGTCAATGTCCAGTACCCACCAGCAGACCGCACCTGGGATTGGCAGGAAGCTGTCAATTTTGTTCCAAATCCCCACCAGTTTGATGAAAGCCAAAGTGGAATACGGGCATGTTGTGCACTGGTGAACAATGCCACTGAACTGGAATGTTTCGAGTTATTCTTTGACGAACTCCTGATGGAAATTATTGTCAGGGAAAGCAACAGATACTACGAGTACACCATGGCAAACATATTTTCACCAAAATCACGTCTACACCAGTGGAAGGAGACAACTGTGGCTGAGATGTATCTTTTCTTTGCCACAATAATGCTTATGCCACATGTGTATAAGCACAGAGTGAAATCATACTGGTCAACAGACCGCCTGATTGCAACCCCAGGTTTCAGTGATATAATGCCAGTGAATCGATTTGTGCTAATGTTACGTATGCTTCACTTCTCAGACAAAACCAGGCCTAGGTAGTAGGTTGGTAGACAGCAACTGCCCAAGGAGGTACTACTGTCCTGCCAAGTGAGTGTAAAACGAAAGCCTGTAATTGTTTTACATGATGGTAGGATTGCTGGTGTCTTTTGTCTGTCTTAAACATGCAAGATTTCAGGTATGTCTTGCTACTTCTACTTACACTTAGGTTGCACTACACATACATGTACAAGCATATACACACCCCTCTGGGTTTTCTTCTATTTTCTTTCTAGTTCTTGTTCTTGTTTATTTCCTCTTATCTCCATGGGAAAGTGGAACAGAATTCTTCCTCCATAAGCCATGCGTGTTGTAAGAGGCAACTAAAATGCCGGGAGCAAGGGGCTAGTAACCCCTTCTCCTGTATATATTACTAAATGTAAAAGGAGAAACTTTCGTTTTTCCTTTTGGGCCACCCCACCTCGGTGGGATACGGTCGATTTGTTGAAAGGGCCTCTGAGAGCATAAGCCGTACATAGTGGTGAAGGCAAGCAGAGGCATCGGTGTTCTCAGTAGCCCTATATATCTCCAACAACATTGGACTAGCCCTATATATCTCCAACAACATTGGAGGAGTTAGGTTCGTGCTGTCCTTTTTCTATCGATTAATCGCTTAACTTTCTTGCTACACTGTTAATGCTACACTTTATCACTGACTGGCGCTATAGCCTTTATTGACTCGTGCTGCTTTAGTGTCACACATGTTGTAGAATCACTGAATCAACGAAGACACATTCTCCCCTCTCTCTTCCTCCTCCACTTTGGTACTCTGCTATGAGTTCTTTCTTGAATTCTATAGTCTTTCTCACCTTCTTTACCAAAGGGCTGGCACTAGTACAATATTTCACGATGTTTTCATGTGTTTTTTGATTGTTCATGGTTCAACAGGTTAAGGAAGCAGTATTGTTAGGCTAAGTAAATATTATTATATTTCCCTACAATATATTTGTGCACCAAACATTTGCAATTCTCCAATAATAATAATTTTATTTCTTTGTAAAGGTTAAAATGTGTAATTACAATTTTGATTTGCTAAGTACAAAGATAACCACTATCATGCCGAGGCATTTCCGGCAAACTAATCCTAATACATAGTAACTAATTAAAACTAGATAAGATTAGCTGTTTTACAATCTTGTTTGGACTTAATAAATCTTATGTATACTTAGTACAAAATCTAATTTACAAGGAATGGTGCAGGTGGTAATATTTTATGGAATGGCAGAATTAAAAGCCAGGTCACATGATAAAACTAGTCAGTAGATGTTTGGTTGATTTGGTTAATATTGTGAGATATGATTTTATAGCAGGGTCCTAAATTTATAAGTTGTCTGGGGATCCTTGACTTGTTCCGGTAGCGAGTTCCAGATCTTTGGGCCTTTTGTGTGCATAACGTTCTTGCATAGCGAGTTTTACTCGAGAGATGTTGAAAAGGGCCTTATGGTTTGTATTGTGACTGTGCAATCTGTTGTAACTGTCAAGAAGTAGTTTTAGGGGAAGGGAGGGGGTTTACAGTGGAGTTTAAAGTTCTGTATATGTAGCAGGCACAATAATAAGAGTGTATGTCTTGTATATTTAGCAAGTCGAGTCTTTTGAAAAGTGGTGGTGTGTGCTGTCTAGCGCAGGAGCTGGTTATCACCCGCACAGCAGCTTTTTGTTGGATTATTAAGGGTCTAAGGTGGTTGGCTGTGGTTGATCCCAGGCACAGATACCATATGTGAGGTAAGGATATATTAGAGAGTGGTACAAGGTAAGGAGAGTTGTTTGTGGTACATAATAGCATATCTTGGAAAGGATTCCTACTGATTTGGAAATTTTCTTGGCTATGTGATGGGTATGGGACTGAAATTTAATATTACAATCAAGGAGAAGACCTAGAAATTTGCCCTCCGTGTGTCTTGATATAGGGGAACCATTTAACAGTATGTTGAGTTGAATATCTGAGAGACTGTTGCCAAACAGCATGAAGTAAGTTTTTTCTATATTAAGTGTGAGTTTGTTGGTCATCATCCAAGCATATATCTTTAGCAGTTCATTGTTTACAGTGTTTTCAAGCACAGCTGGGTCTGAATGGGAGTAGACATATGTAGTGTCATCTGCGAATAGAACTGGTTTAAGGGGTTGGGATGCATTGGTTCTTGATCCCCTAACCCACACAAATGTGGAGGGAGACCTGTATTACTGGGGCAACTGTAGAAAATTATTCCTTTCCTATGCTTTCACTCAGAGCATCATTCCCTCTAAAAATGGTGTGTTTGCATGACAGTGGGAGTGTTGCTGTTATTTATTCTACTTCACCAACATGAACACAACTTGTACACAATGTAAGGTATTTGTACTGTGGTAAAAGCTTCACAAACATATGGAGAACGAACGGGTATGAAGTATAACCAGACAAGTATTAATACGCGTTTGTTTGTTTACATTCTCTGCCTATGTCATTTACTCGTTCTCTCAGTGAACAAGTTATGTCAATGATGATGATGATGATGATGATGAGATATAATAATAATAATAATAATAATAATAATAATAATAATATAATAATAATAATAATAATAATATATATAATAATAATAATATAATAATTAATAATAATAATTAATAATAATTAATAATAATAATAATAATAATAATAATAATAATAATAATAATAATAATAATAATAATAATAATAATATAATATAATAATAATAATATATAATAATAATAATAATAAATAATAATAATAATAATATAATAATAAATAATAATAATAATAATAATAATAATAATATAATAATAATAATAATAATAATAATAATAATAATAATAATAATAATAAATTTAAGTCATACATTTTGTGTAGGTGTGGTAGCAAGGCGAGTTACTACATCTTTCTACAATACTCACCTCTCACCCTAAATTAAGACTACACATTTTAAGGTAAGTAATGAGTGTACTGTGCATGTATTTTATCATTCTGGGCCACTTTAAATGTCGTATATTACATGTAGGCGTGGAAGTCAGGCGAGCTACCATACCTACCACCTGACTTCCTACAATAAATACTATTCACTTATCATCCTACATTAAAACTACAAATATTTTATGGTACATAATGAGTGTACTGTATGTGTATTTTACTTTTTTACTTTTTTAATGCCTAGTTGTATTTAAAACTTAATATATGATAGTGTAAACAAATTATGAAACACTTATCATGCATTTATAAATGAAAGTGATTCGCTTTATGGCAATTTTCACTTTACAGCGGTCGCCTGGATCCTAACCTGCCATAAGTGGGTCCTACTGTACAACATTAACTAGTGATTAATAATGTTCATATAAAAATGAAGTATACATCTAAAAGTCATTTCCTATATTAGTGAAAAACAATATGGTACGAATTACAAGAATGCTATACTACTCTGCCATTCCAATAACTGTTAAAACCAACCATGTTTTGCTGCATGTCTTGTGGAGGTGCAGCTGAAGGACCAAGGTTCATCCCTCCCAACTGCTGATTCATTCCTTCTACTTGTGCTGGACCACTTCCATATGTGCCAGGTCTTGACGAATGCATTGCAGGAATCTTGTACATACCTGTTAATAAATACCCAAACATGAAAAACTAAAAACAACGTCAAGGCAAAGTGATAGGTCATTAACAAATATTCGAGCTATTTCTTTTCCAATATTTTTTTTTTTAACACATCAGCCATTTCCCACCAAGGCAGGGTGACCCAGAAAAGAAAACACTTTCGCCATCATTCCCTCCATCACTGTCTTGCAAGAGGCGTACCTACACTACAGTTATAAAAGTGCAACTTACCAACACCCCTCCTTCAGAGTGCAGGCACTGTACTTCCCACATCCAGGACTCGAGTCTGGCCTGCCAGTTTCCCTGAATCTCTTAATAAATGTTACCCTGCTCACACTCCAACAGCATATCAGGTCCTAAAAACCATTTGTCTGCACTCCCTCCTATCTAATACGTGCACAAATGCTTGCTGAAGTCCAAGCCCCTCGCACACAAAACTTCCTTTACCCCCTCCCTCCAACCTTTCCTAGGCCGACCCCTACCCTGCCTTCCCTCCACCTTCCCTTCAGACACTAAATGTCCGAATCTCCTCAACAACCCCTCCTCAACCCCCTAGATAATATACTTTTAGTAACCATGCACCTCCTAATTTCCAAACTATGATTCTTTGCATTATATTCACACTGCACTTTGCCCTCAGACACACTATCTCCACTGCCTCCAGCTTCTTATTACAACATTCACCACCCATGCTTCACACCCATATAGGAGCACTGGTATCATACATTCCCCTTTTTTACTTCCAAGGATAATGTTCTTTGTCTCCATACACTCCTGAGTGCACCACTCACTTTTTTTCCCCTCAACAATTCTATAATTCACCTCATCTTTCACAGACCCATCTGCTGACAAGTCCTCTCCCAAATATCTGAATACATTCACCTCTTTCATACTCCCTTCCTCCAATCTGATATACAATCTTTCATTACCTATTTTTTTTTTTATCCTCAACATCTTACTCTTTCCTATATTCACTTTTAATTTCCTTCCTTTAAATACCTTACCAAACTCATCCACTAACCTCTGCAATTCCTCTTCAGAATCTCCCAGCACAGCATTATCAGCAAAGAGCAGCTATGACAACTGCCACTTTATGTTAGATTCTTTATCTTTTAATCCCACCCCACTTTCCAACACCTGAGCATTCACTTATCTTACAACCCCATCTATAAATATACTGAACAACCACGGTGACATCACACAACCTTGTCTAAGGCCTACTTTTACTGGAAAATAATCTCCCTCTATCCTACAAACTCTAACCTGAGCCTCACTATCCTCATAAAAACTCTTCACTGCTTTCAATAACCTAGCTCCTATTCAATACATTTGCAACATCTGCCACATTGCCCCCTATCCACCCTATCATACACCTTTTCCAAATCCATAAATGCTGCAAAAACCTCTTTACCCTTATCTAAATGCTGTTCACCTATGTGTCTCACTGTAAACACCTGGTCCACACACCCCCTACCTTTCCTAAAGCCTCCTTGTTCATCTGCTATCCTGCTCTCTGTCTTAATTCATAATTCTATCAATAACAACTCTACCATACACTTTACCAGGTATACTCAACAGACTTGTTCCCTTATACTATTTTATACTCTCTTTTGTCCCCTTTGCCTTTATACAAAGGAACTATGCACACACTGGCAATCCCTAAGTACCTTACCCTCTTCCATACATTTATTAAATAAAAACACTAACCACTCCAAAACTCTATCTCCACCTGCTTTTAACATTTCTATCTTTATCCCATCAATCCCAGCTGCTTTACCCCCTTTCATTCTACTCACTGCCCTATGCACTTCCCCCACACTTACAACTGTTTCTTCCTCACTCCTACAAGATGTTATTCCTCCTTGCCCTATACACGAAATCACAGCTTCCCTATCTTCATCAACATTCGATAATTCCTCAAAATATTCCCTCCATCTTCCCAATACCTCTAACTCTCCATTTAGTAACTCTCCTCTCCTATTTTTAACTAACAAATCCATTCTTTCCCTAGGCTTTCTCAACTTATTAATCTCACTCCAAAACTTTTACTTATTTTCAACAAAATTTGTTGATAACATCTTAACCACACACACTTTTTTTTTACTACTTGTCTCCACTCGCTCCTATCTAACATGCTCATGCATGCTTGCTTAAGTCCAAGCCCTTCACACACAAAACCTCTTTTACCCCCTCCCTCTGACCTTTCCTAGGCCGACCCCTACCCCACCTTCCTTCCACTATATATATATATATATGCTCTCCAGCTCATTCTTTCATTCCATCCTCTCCAAATGTCTGAACCACCTGATGAACCCCTCCTCAGTCCTCACATTACTGTGCCTACTATATACGTATATAGAACATTAAACTCCAACATGAACCCTCCTCTCAAACTTATCCTTGATAGCCACAACACAACACACAAACACAAGGCACAAAGCTCTCTTCGACATCCCTCATGTCCGTCTCATCCCATGCAAAAATGCAGTGAACATAAAGGGCCCTAAGAACTGGAATTCATTGACTGAACTAGCAAAAGGTCCCCTGCCTGCCAATCAAGGTCCCCTGCCTGCCAATCAATTTTGGGTTATACATAAAAATCATCTCCCACAATTAACCAACACAACACTAAACATTCAACCAGTTACAAACAACCACAAAAAAAAAATCACCAAAAGTTTAAGACTACTTGATCAATTTAAAACATGAATACATACTTAAAATTGTACTGCTGTATTTATTATTATAATCATGGGGTAGCACTAAACCTGTAAGATTATACAGCACATGGAGGGAGGGGGAGGGGGGGGGGATGAAAGGTATTCAGGCTCAATTCAGGGAACCAGAACACAGATCCAATTCCCTAGACCAAGAGCCCCTCACCAGCATCAAGGAACCTCCCTTGATAGGTGTACTGCTGTAACAGTGAGAGCTGTACTAATTGTAACTCTGTTATTTGCTACCTCACTACTATAAATCTTAACTCTTCCACGGTCCAGAGGCCAAATTTCAAAGTGTGCACCAGAGTCCAAGAATTTTCAAAAAATAATTTTTTTATTTTTTCTTATGAAATGGTAGAGAATCTTTTTCTGAAGGTAATAAAACAAAAAGTACTAAATTTGATGGAAAATTGACGAAATTATGCTCTCGCGAATTTTGATGTGTCAGCGATATTTAAGCATCGGCAATTCTGAGGACTTTGACTCCCATTTTAGGCCAATTACATCATTCCAGTTGACCAAATTCTTAGCTATTTCACTAGTATTACTTCTATTCTATCAATTGAGCACAAGAATTCGCCAAGTCAACTGTTTCAACTACAAAATAAAGTGATTGGAAATTGGTAATTTAGCCAATTTAATGCAAAGTTCAAAATACAGTGGACCCCCGCCTTACGAATGCATCACATTACGTTAAATCCGCCATACAAAGCATTTGAACGCAAAAATTTTGCCTTGCCTCACGATATAAAACACGCCTTACGTGATTCATCCGGGACGCATCCCACATGTGGCCTCAGTGCCAGTGTTTACAAGACAGCCAGTGCGGTCGCATCTACTCATACATTCGGTACATTTCACATTATCCCAGTGTTTTCAGTGCTTGTAACTGCAAAATAAGTTACCGGGGACCCCAAGAAAGCTTCGAGTGCCATCCCTGTGGTAAAAAGGGTGAGAATTAGTATGGAATTGAAAAAAGAGATTAAGGAAATGTGTGCAAAGTGGGTTGAACTGCAAACCTTTACGGATGAAAATGACCCTGACACAGCTACTGCAAGCCGTGTTGGCAACCTGTACAATGACAATGTTATGGCCCATTTTAGGAAAGTCTTAAAGGAATGGGAGGTACAGAGCTCTATGGACAGATTTCTTGTGCAACAGAGGTCCAGTGACTCTCAAGCTGGTCCTAGTGGCATTAAAAGAAGAAGGGAAGTAACCCCGGAAAACGACTTGCTACCTCAAGGCCTAATGGAAGGGGATTCCCCTTCCAAACAATAACTTCCACACACTCCCCTCCTCCCATCCCATCAATCATCACCAGATCTTCAATAAAGGTAAGTGTCATGTATTCTATTCTTAGTAGAGTAGTAATTGTGCATGTCTTCTTCAGTTTGTGTGTATTAAAATTAATATTTCATGTGGTAAAAATTTTTTTTTTCATACTTTGGGGTGTAAGGAACGGATTAATTTGATATCAATTATTTCTTATGGGGAAAATTAATTAGGCTAATGATAATTTCGGTTTACGATGAGCTCTCAGGAACGGATTAATATCGTAAGGCGGGGGTCCACTGTACTCCAATTTCAAAATAGGGTCCAGAATAAACAATGCAGGCATTCCTGGCACTAAACTAACATTTTCTCTGTTCATTAGTTACGTTTTCAGGCCTTACTAATGAATTCTATTTTGATTTTTTATTCGCATAATGAATTTTTATTCAAACCAAAAAGTAGGTGATTTACTGTTGTGCAATATTGTAATAATTGTATAAATAATATCAGCACATTTGTGAACGTATATTAGACCCACCAGCAGGCGTGTATTAGACGTGTGAGGTCATTTGTTTACTCTTGAACATCGGCAAAAATTTAACATTTCCGCTATTTGAGCTCAGTTTCAAGCCATTTCCAGTTCTAAAACCAATCAAAATCATCTTTATTTCTGTAATATGTCTTCCATTCTATCAAATGAGACCAAGAAATCACAAATACAACTATAAACAAATATACGAAAAAACACTACAGTGGACCCCGGTTCGCGATATTAATCCGTTCCTGAGAGCTCATCGTAAACCAAAATTATCGGAAAGCGAATCAATTTTCCCCATAAGAAATAATGGAAATCAAATTAATCCATGCAAGACACCCAAAAGTATGAAAAAAAAAACTTACCATATGAAATATTAAGTTTAATGCACACAAACTTTAGAAGACATGCACAGTTTGTAGTATGTACTCTACTAATAGAATACAATACATGACACTTACCTTTAATGAAGATC